GTTTATTATAACAATAGTAGTTTTTTTATTTTAAAAACATAACTATTTATAATGCTCCTAAATAATAAAAAAATAAATTACAGTGAAAGCAATGAATATTTTATAGGTTTTGAACAGAACTAAATAACAGTAAACCTTTTTTTGATTTACGGTATTTTCTTTGTTTGTAGTTAAGCACAAAGCTGCACAATGGGCTATCTGTGATCTGCCCACCACGAGTATCGAAACCCGGTTTCTAGCATTGTAAGTTCGCAGACATGCCGCTGTGCCACTGGGGGGCCGGTATTTTCTTATTTTGATATGTTGAGCTCTTTTCTGTTTAGAATAATATATACTAATTTTTAAAGTATTAGATTGAATTTTTGTTCAATAAAAATCTTTCAAATGCGACTGTAGCTTTTTTTTCCTCAAAACTTTGTCTTCAAAATAAGGGTGCGTCTTATACACCGGTGCGTCTTATAGTCCGAAAAATACGATACATGGGGGAGCGGGACATTTTCACTGTAATATAGACTCTACTTACTGTAAAGCCCTCTACTGGTTCAACTGTGAATTTGGAGGCTTATAACGCTAAAAACCGGGTTTCGATACCTGTGGTGGACACAGCACAGTTACAGCACAGTAGCCCATTGTGTAGCTTTGTGCAAGTAAACAAACAAAACAAAAACTTTCTGGAAAACTGTATCAGATAAAAAAACAAAGAAACTGAATTTGCATTAGTATCAGTCTTAGTTTGGTATGGAATCAACCATATGTTACAGCTAAATGTATTCCAATCTGAGTTTGGTGTGGAATCAACCATATGATACAGCTAAATATATCACAATCTGAGTTTGGTGTGGAATCAACTATATATATTACAACTAAATTTATCACAATCTGAGTTTGGTGTGGAATCAACCATATATTACAGCTAAATGTATTCCAATCTGAGTTTGGTGTGGAATCAACCATATGATACAGCTAAATATATCACAATCTGAGTTTGGTGTGGAATCAACTATATATATTACAACTAAATTTATCACAATATGAATTTGGTGTGGAATCAACCACATGTTGCATTTAAATATATCACAATCTGAGTTTGGTGTGGAATCAACCATATATTACAGCTAAATGTATCACAATCTGAGTTTGGTGTGGAATCAACTATATATATATTACAACTAAATTTATCACAATCTGAGTTTGGTGTTTGGAATCAACCATATATTACAGCTAAATGTATCACAATCTGCTGAAAATCTGGACAACAACAATATAAAGAAAAACGTTATTCTCCACGATGAAGTCCAGGCATTACTGAATTTGGTTAAGCCTTTTTTATAATCCCTATAATATGTTTCAATCTAAACTTATTCCTTGATGTCCTTCTTTCTTTAGTTATTGTCTTGTCCATATTCGTGAAATAATTCTCACGTGATGCGATGACCAATTGAGCGAACATGTTTAGCCACGATAGATGTTTCTGTATTGTCAATTATTGTAGCATTTTGATGTTCTTTATCTCAGTCTTCTCCTCTCACATGTTGCTTGTATTATCATAAAACTGAGACAAGCATATTTTTATTCTCCGCACTAGTCGGCTTGTTACGTAGAGGTTTGATTATTTTGATGTTGTGTTCTCACTAGCTTTTAACAGACTCCTGGGTTATAGGGTAGATTACAAGAAGGATCTTGTTTGATTGGCACATTTTGTTTTAAGGCAGACTGAATAAATCACATTTTGTATGGTGTTTCTAGTGATTCCTTTTATACCTATTAGCCTTGATTTTTTGTTTCAAATGATATGATTCTAAATATCCTACGCGTTTGATTAGTGTCATATGGTTAGTGTGGTTCTACTTGTAACAGTTTGAAATACCTACTTCAATTTTTTCCTGGATGGCAAAAGGAATGGTCTGGATAACTATCAGTATTTTAGTTGATTCTCAAGGGCGGGAAGAATGGTGTAGGATACTGTTAATATTTTAGTTGATTCTGAAAACGGGAATGATGTAGGTGACAGTTAGTATTTTAGTTGATTCTGAAAACGGGAATGGTGTAGGTGACAGTTAGTATCTTAGTTGATTCTGAAAACGGGAATGGTGTAGGTGACAGTTAGTATTTTAGTTGATTCTGAAAACGGGAATGATGTAGGTGACAGTTAGTCTTTTAGTTGATTCTGAAAACGGGAATGGTGTAGGTGACAGTTAGTATCTTAGTTGATTCTGGAAACGGGAATGGTGTAGGTGACCGTTAGTATTTTAGTTTATTCTGGACTAGAAGAGGAATGATATAGATGGCTGTTGGTATGGGTTAGTTTTCTGCAAAGTTTGGTGTCCAAACTCTTCTATAACTAACAACTGATATCCATAGTTTTGTTGTAACAATTGTCGCGAGATTCTATTTGTTCTAAGAGTTCCGATGTTTTTAACCGATTGACTGTCAGTTAGTCCCTAGACAAAAACTCCTGAAAACGGTTGATAAAATCGTAATGCAGAGCTTGTGAATTAAGTAACAAATACACTGTGGGAGATAAAAATTTTCTCATATGTTTTAATATTGTTACGACAGCGGAAGTCACGTGACTCTGGTAATACGTCATGAGTTTCTAGAAGGATCATGACTGTTCCTGGCAACTCTAGTGTTTGCCAGACGCCCTCTATTTTTTGTATATAAGCCCGGCAAATAAAGCGGAGATATGATGGTAGATAGGGAGATATAGAGACAGATAATCGAGTTAAGTGAGCGGTAGTGGCCGTAAGTAAAGAGCGTGAATCGTTGTGAATTATAGCGTGTGTTCAAGTTAAAGTGACTGTGGAAATTCTGTGTATTGCAAAGTTGTATTGAGAAAGAATAAACTAGTTTTATTTAAGAAAGGACTTGTATCGCTGATGTTTCTCGGGAAGAATTTTTACGGGAAATTAACAAACGACCAGAGACGTTACAATACGTTTATAACATTTTGTTTTAACAAAACTTTCTAAAGTTTAAATCTGAAGGCTAGGAAAACAGTTCTTTCAAATACTCGATTATTCATTTAAAAGTAACTATACTGAATTGAAACAAATTTGAGACTTAACTAAAATATTTTCCCACAAGTCTTACCGGTAATGCGAGGTGGGGATGAGCGGGAATAACAAAAGGCGGACACATAGAGAGCGAAGTAACGTTCTGTTTAAAATCTTCATATTCAGGGTTAATAGCAGCTCGGTGAGTGACAATGAACACTGCTCGAAAAGGGAGGACGTCACTGTCTGCTGCCTCTGATTCTGGAAAAAACAAAATCTATGAAAAAGGTTGGTCTAAAGTGTACACCTATTCATAATTATAAATAACCAGATATTTAACAATTAATTTAATTTGTCCTTTTTGTATTTAAAATCTCAAATGTATAAAATAGTATTTCAGATCTACCTTTTGACTTCCACAGTAGTGGAAAAAAACGTTTAGTTTACGTGGTTTATGTTACATATCTTAGGCCTATAAATTTCCAACTTTGCCACCTGTCGACGTTTAAATAGTCACCATAAGATATGTACCTGTTAATTTTTTTAAACAAACTATTTTAATCAAAGTTTTTGCAGTGAAAAGATGAACGAGTGATTTTTTTTTTTTGTTCTTGCTAGGATGTGACGAAAATATCAGTTTTTGTTGGAATAAAAGATTAAACGACAGCTAAAATGTAGATAACAAATTTAACTAAAATAATTTTATTTGATCAATTTGTTTCTTCGGGATTTAGGTCGTGGAGACTTGGGAGGGTCAGGTGCTAGTTAGACCTCCATCTGATCAGTTATGTTTCTATATTGGTCTGGTTTGAATTTCGCACAAAATTAACCAAAGGCCACCTGAACTAGCCGTCCCTAATTGAGCAGTGATAGACTAGAAGGAAGGCAGCTAGTCAACATTACCTACCGCTAACTCTTGGGCTACTCTTTAACCAGCGAATAGTGGGATTGACCGTCACATTATAAAACACGCCCTCACGGATGAAAGAGCGAGCATGTTCGGTGACGGGAAGTTTCTATATACTATCGATTATTACTTACCTTTAGTGATAGCCTATTATAGACAGTAACGTAGTAGCTTCAGTGATAGCCGTACACTGATCACAAATGTCTATTATGGACGGTAACATAGTAGCTTTAGTGATAGCCGTACACTGATCACAAATGTCTATTATGGACGGTAACATAGTAGCTTTAGTGATAGCCGTACACTGATCACAGATGTATATTATGGACAGTAAAATAGTAGCTTTAGTGATAGCCGTACACTGATCACAGATGTCTATTATATAAAGTAACGTAGTAGCTTTAGTGATAGCCGTACACTGATCACAGATGTCTATTATGGACGGTAAGGTAGTAGCTTTAGTGATAGCCGTACACTGATCACAGATGTCTATTATATAAAGTAACGTAGTAGCTTTAGTGATAGCCGTACACTGATCACAGATGTCTATTATGGACGGTAAGGTAGTAGCTTTAGTGATAGCCGTACAATGATCGCAGATGTCTATTATGGACAGTAACGTAGTAGTTTCAATGATATCTGTATAATGTTCACACATGTCTATTATGGACAGTAACGTAGTAGTTTCAATGACATCTGTATAATGTTCACAGATGTATATTATGGACAGTAATGTAGTAGTTTCAATAATATCTGTACAATGGTCACAGAAATGAAACTCTAAACACCGTCAATGGAAAAGTGTGCTATAACATGACATGTGAGATACATTAAAACGTAATTAGTGGTGTGCTCACGATTCTTTCATTACATCCAACTGTCGATTCGTCACTTCAATTCTCTAAGTGGTATTTGACACAACGTTTCTTCTATCTATCTGTCTGTGTACATATTAATAATTGGTTCTTTTTATTACATGATTGGGATATTTTGAAAACAGGCAATAATCAAAAATTTTATGAGGCGTAATATTCTTAAGATATTTTTTGTTAAGCATCTAATGAAACCAATATTTCTACAAGTATGGTTGAATATTTGCACCAGGGCTTATAATGTACTTCTTCACGAATATTAGTGAATATATACTTATAATTTTTAATAAAGTCATAGCCTGTGAAATTTTCATGTTAGTGTTTGGATAAAGATTTTCTCACCTTTGTAAATGTACTGACGTTCCTTGGAAGGATCGTAGACCTCGTCGTCCACACAAATAATGACGTATTCCCCATTCTTCAGTAGACCTTTCTCATACATATACCGAGTAAAGTCCACCATGGGATGATTGTCAGCCAATAGAACATATACTGAAAAATCAAAAGTTATCACAAGTACAATTAATTTCAAATATTCTTCGTGTCTTAATAAGAACCAATGAAATATCAGTTTTGTGTGGACAATAGACTCGATCTAAAACACTGAGCTGTTTACTTACATTAACAGACTTGATCTATAGCTTTGAGCTCCGAACTCACAACAATAAACTTTATAAACGATTTTGATCTGTTTGCTCACAACATCTGCCTCAACTTGATCTAGGACTTAGATCTGTCTGCTCACAATAAGAGACTCAATCTAAGACTTTGAGCTGTTTACTCACAACAATAATATATATATATATATCTTTGAGCTCTCTACTCACAACAATATTTGATCTGTTTACTCACAGATCTAATACTTGGATCTGTCTACTCACAACAACAGACTGATCGAAGACTTTGATCTGTCTACTAACAACAACAGACTGGTCGAAGACTTTGAGCTATTTGCTCACAACAACAGCCTTGATCTAAAAATTTCAACGTGTATTCCATTGCAGATCTTGTTATAATATTCCAGTGACTACCTTAACCTTTAAAATCTGGACATTTCACTTTTATTTGATTAGTCAAGTTTTGAATACTAAACTAAATATATCCAGCTGCAGACTTCAAGACCTCAACACTAAACTAAATATATCCAGCTGCAGACTTCAAGACCTCAACACTAAACTAAATATATCCATTTGCAAACTTCAAGACCTCAACACTAAACTACATATATCCATTTGCAGACTTCAAGACCTCAGCGCTAAACTAAATATATCCATCTAAACTTGGATGAACACGTTTAGAAACTAAAAATTAAAGTGGGATAGAAACCACCTCTATATATCTCTTCATCTGGTTGTCTGTTCATCTACTTATCTGACTATCTGCTTATGTCACTGCCAGTCCGTCCATTCCATTTCTCTAACAATCTACCCATTCTCTGTCTTTCCATCTACCTGTTCGTCTGTAAGCCTGCCCATACATCCATATACCAACATCTATATACCAATACATCTAACTATCTGTCTACCTGTTTGTCCATATATCTATCTTGGAATAATTAGGGGCACTCTAACCTGTACACCAAGATAGGTAAAACAAATAGAATATCATGTTGTTAAGGAATACGTACTATACATAAAGCAAAGTTATTTCCCAGTTAACGCAGATATTTGATAACAGTTAACATGATGTGAAGGAATACTAAATAGGAAGAAGTGTATCTCTTCACAACATCCTCTTGAACCGTTATCAGATATCGGAGTTAACTAGGAACAAACTTTGCCTTGTTTTTAAGAGTGTATTCCTTCACGGCGTCCTCTTTTAACTGTTATTAGATACACGAGTTAACTAGTAAGAAACTTTGTCTTGTTTTTAAGAGTGTATTCCTTCACAGCGTCCTTTTTTAACTGTTATTAGATACACGAGTTAACTAGTAAGAAACTTTGTCTTGTTTTTAAGAGTGTATTCCGTCACAGCGTCCTCTTTTAACTGTTATTAGATACACGAGTTAACTAGTAAGAAACTTTGTCTTGTTTTTAAGAGTGTATTCCTTCACAGCGTCCTCTTTTAACTGTTATTAGATACACGAGTTAACTAGTAAGAAACGTTGTCTACTTTCTCGTATCTATTCTTTTACAACGTTCCATCTTAACTGTTTTTACTATTTGTCTTGTAAGGCTTCAACATATACAGACCTACTCAGAACCTTCCGAACCATTGAAACGCTGAATAAAATGAAATAAGATTTTCACTCTGTGGAATAAGCCTCATATAAATCAGCAAAACCTTGGAACCGAGAAACATATTAGTTGCTAGAAAAAACAAAAATGAAATAAAGTATTTCTTTCTTCTCACACACGGAGGAAATAACCGTTAACCTAATATACACATTAAATATTTAGGCTAACTTCCGGATTCGCCCCTGCCGGTTAAGAAAAGAAACAAGAAAAGAGTTAGCTCTTGTTCTATTTATATAATGTAACTTCATAAATATGTTAGTTCCTCATCTATTTGGATTTTGTTTTTAACTTCATAAATCTATTCATGTTTAAGATGATGGAGACATATTTCAGTAGCAATGCCTACTTCAAAGCGTTTGATATCCATAACATGGTTAGGAATAGCAACGTCCATTAATAATCAATCGGATCCTTACGAAGTTGACACATTCCTGTAGGAAAGTAATATCAGACCGGTAAAATGATGAATTAACTGATGGAAAAACAGCGAGGGAAACAGATAGAAAGATTAGCTGGTAGAAAAACACAGCGTTGACATGTATTATGTTTTTGTTTTTCTTACAACTGTTTGAATTTTTTTTTTTGTATTTTCAACTTTTACTACTTTGTTTGTTAGATTTTGTTGTCAATAGACCTTTCTCCTACATGAATCGAATACAACCCACCACTGAATGATTGTCAGCCAACAGAACATGTACTGAAAAATTCCAAATTGTCATAAATACATCTTGAATGATTACAAAAGATTTAATTTCAACTATTCGCCGTATTTTAATAAGAACCAATAAAATATAAGTATTGTACAGACAACAGACGTTATAAAAGACTCTGAGCTGTCTACTTGAAACAGAAGACTTAATTTCAACTTTATCTGCACGGCTTTAATTGGTTGAATTATATTTGTCAAATGTTTTACTAGCAATGAAACCTCATAATACTCTCATCCACCCTTAAACTGCCCAAACTCAATGCATTCTTATTCTATCCAAGTTATTTTCGATTAGCCTAGTGAGCTAAAGTCTCATAAAATTGTCTGGTTAGATTTCATTACATATTTTGTGTAGGTCAATTTGCTAAGCCTTACAGATTGTCCGAGATTTATTCATTGAATCACACACACACAGATACGTGCACGTGGCAATTTCTAGGCTAGGGTCGCCATCTATAAATTTATAGAACAACAAGAAGAAAGCTTAATCTTGATCTAATTTCGTGAGAGCACCGTTTCCACCTGAAGTTACGGTATGCAAACCTGCCGACGAAAAGTGATAACAGTATTTTGGTTCTCGTGGCGAGCATAACGATGTTCTATATAAGCAACATAATTGTTGTCAGAAATATATAACACGAATAATTCGGTAAAAGTAAATATTATTCTCACTGATGTTTAATAGAAACATTATCTTTACAATATTTTTAGTTAAATTAAGATTTATCTTATACTGAATGGTCCCTTACACATGCCGGATGGTTATGTTTCAAGTATAACGTTTCTGTTAAGCGCAAAGGAACATAACGGTGAGATCGAATCATGATTTTTAGTGTTACAAGCCCTCAAACTTATTGTTTTATATATATAATAAAAAAGTGTTGTCAGAAATATAAATATTGTAAAATACACTTTGTTTTACAGTTGTGTTTAATATAAGTTTTATCTTTAAAATTTTGAGTTCAATTAAGGTGTTATATTAAACGGTCCCTTAAGATACGCGTGGAAACAGCTGTTGATACCTAGATCTGACAGTGACTGATGGTGCAATCAGAACATTCCTCTCTGTGTTCCATTGGTGACAGAGACATGAACCATAAAAGAGCGACGTGTTAGATCTTACGCTTCAGTTGTCAAACTGTCTTTACAGGCTACGCCAAAATTGTATGAAATTCATTCATTTCATTTGCTCGCCGAAAGATCTGAAAAGTTGGCCTTATTTTGAGTGATTTTTGTAATTTTATATTTGGATATTTAAAGGATCAGTCAAAAGGAAATGCGGAAATTGAAAACTTATAGTTAGAGTTTCAATTAATAAAGTTAGTTTTGAAAATTAAGTATTATTTTAATATTTTTTATATTTATTTGGCTGTTTTTTTTTCTATGGTTCTTTTTTTTAACAAGGATTAGTTCTCCAACGTAGTTTGGATGGTTAATAGATATTAAAATTATTTCTTTACACACCCCGCCCCTTGTAGATCAGCGGTAAGTATGAAGGCTTAGAACGCTAAAATTCGGGATTCGATACCCGTGGCGGACATAGTATGGATAAACCATTGTGTAGCTTTGCGCTTAACAACAAACCAAGTCAGTGAATTATTAGTCTTCTAACACACCTCTGAACCACACTAAATCAATTAGTCTTCTAACACACCTCTGAACCACACTAAATCAATTAGTCTTCTAACACACCTCTGAACCACACTAAATCAATTAGTCTTCTAACACACCTCTGAACCACACT